GTCCTGATGTGCACGGACTGCGCGGGTAAGGGTTAAAGCCTGGCGCTTGGGTTGTAGGTTTTTTGTTCCAGACAGATGAGGGTTAACGTGGAGGCTCACACTGCAGCTACGAACTCCCTCTACTCCCTCTACGGCTGAGTCACTTTGCTGCCTTAGAGGGGCCCCCACCAAGCAGCCCCAGGGCATAGTGCTTTCTTCTCTGCTTGTCTGTCCCGGGAGCATCCTGCCTTTCTCCAGATTCTTCTTAATCTTCGTGCACCAAAAGTCCTTGATGCCCTCTGCTCAGCTCTGGGACAAAACAACTTGCAGTACCTCTTAAAGCTGACTCCAGCTGTACTTCCTCCAGGAAGCCTTCCTTGATCTCACCGCCCTTCAGACACTGGGGTAGAAAGTGGGGAGCGGATAATCTCACGCTGCTTGACTCTGGGGAGCAATGTCAGGTCCAGGTAGATAGACAGACAGACAGATAGATAGATGGATGAAAAATCCAGGGTTAAAGGCATTTAGCATAGAGACCCAACTCAACCATGTCATTTGACCAGTACTCTTTTAAGTCCAGAAGAATGTGGTGACTGGGGGGTCGGGGGGGGGGGGGAGGGAGATGTCACTAGGCCTTGGTGGGGAGGACAGGGGTCACAGCAATTCCCCTCCTAGGTACCGACTTACCCAAGAGAAATGAAAATGTAAATCCACCCAAAAAGTTGAGCATAAATGTTTGTAGCAGCATGGTTCACAAGAGCCAAAATGTGAGAGGGATTCAATATGTATTAACTGTTGGTAAGGGGACGTTCAAGTGTACAGTCCACACGGTGGAATATTGTTCGTCCAGGGAAAGTACTGAAACTTTACGATCGAGATGGCGTCAAAGGAAGCCCACCATAAAAGGCCAGGCACTATATAACTCCCTATTGGGAAGTGATGGAAACTTCAGGAGATGGGGCCTGGTTTGAGGAAGGTCACCCAGGTCACGCCTTTGAGGGTGTCGTCTCCCTCTGTCCGTGGTGCAATAGCTTTCTACCAAGTCCCTGTCCTCACACCACCTTGAGGTGTGATGTTCTACCTCCCAGAATATCCAGTAGCAATGGAGCAAGCATGCCGTGAGCCAAAACCACAAGCCAGAGGAAGTCCTCCTTGTCGGCGCTGGTCTCAAGCATTTTGTCATGATGATGAATAGTTGTACTACTCGATAAACCCAAGTGTCAGGCGTTGGTTATGTCTCAATAAAGCTACCTTAGAGCCAAGGGCAGAGGTTGGTAAACGCGAGTCAAGGCTTTGCCCCGGATTAGTGTCAGACACAGCACTCAAGAGGCAAGATAAAAAGTGGGGGTGAAGACTTGCCGTGCATTGGGAGCCCAGAGAATCTTCTGTGCAGTTGGAGGCCTGAGCCCCTTAAGAGCCCCCTGCTGGATGCCTGACATAGCACTTGCTCCTAGGATTTGTTTCCTGGGTGCTGGTTGTTTGGACAAACTGCTCAGTGTATCCCAGATTGCTCGCACCCTTCCCTGTGCTTGTGAGTCAAAGGCATCCCGTTGCCAGGACCTGGCTGGGTCTCAGGTGTGTGGAAGCAAAGGGGACAGAGGGAGTTGTGATTATAATGTGTGTACCACTGCCTCAGTCTCCTGGGACTGAGATCATCTGGGCTCAGTGAGGGCAGGTTTTTTTTTTGTTTTGTTTTGTTTTGTTTTTTGGCCTGGGTAGCAGTGTTGGAGTCACAGAGAAAGTTTCTCAAGCTCAGATGAGCTCAGGAACGTGCAGGGTGGTGTGGCCACAGACAAAGGAGGGCCACTGTTGATAACTTTCCACCCACCGGTGATGGAGGTGTGATCTACTGGTGACAAGGCCACAGGACCTAGGCTGCCTGTTCATCTTCAGCAAGCTGGCCACTGAGAAGTCTTTCCTGTAGACTCTGGGTGAGGCCTGCTCTGGCTGGTCAAAACAGAACCCAGCAGGGGTGCAGGACCATTTCACTTCCTTGTCTGCAGAACACCCTGACCTGCAGGCTACTTGAATTCCCAGTCCCAGGTTCTCTTTTGGCTTCTCAGAAATGCAGAACACCAGTTCCAGGCTTGCTGAAGCTGGACCCTCACATTCGTTGCTCACAGAGGTATTTTATGACTGGACCCATTTAGGGAGCTTTCTCATCAGCTCCCCAAGGCAGTTTGAAACAGTGACTCCCAGACAGCTGTGTGTGCTGGGGGATAGGACAGACAAAGCAGGGAAGCTTCGGGTTTGAGACAGAAAGAGTAACTATGATTCCATCTGAACCCCTAGGATGATGAGCATGTGACCAGCAGCATGAGGCTCCCCCAGTCCTGCAGGCGGACTTCGGTGCTCCCAGGCCGAGCCACAATCCTCACCTCTTAGAGAAAGTGCCTTTCGCGGGCCTACCACCTCTTTGGATTTCATTTGTTTCTCTCTATTTTTTTAAACTGAGCCTGCTCTGGGAAGAAGCCGCCAGGGACACTGGACCCCACTAGCTTTAGACGAAAACCTGCCAAGGTTCCCAAGCAGGTAGGCGGTAGGAAAGGAAGTTTCTCAAGGAAAAGAACAAGGAATTGGCACACGGACTTGAGGTGTGCCTAACCAGCTCGGCATTGCCAGTCATCTGTGGTGTGTTCTGGGGCCACTGTTGTGAGATGGTTGGAGTTTAGTACTTGGGCGGAATCAGGGAGGGAAAGCCAAGTGGAAAAGGGTGAGTTGGAAAGAAACGGTGCCCTGTGTTCTGGACTCCCTGTCCTTGGGCACTACCCTGTGCACGTCCCTTGCCTGGGTGCTTTTAGTGGATGTGCCTGACTCTTTCTCAAATTTGACGACTCTGTCTTCAGTCTGGGCCAGACAGGGGTCAGCACAACACTCCTGCTAGCTGACCTGGCAGCTTCCCAAGAATTTAGACCCAGGATTTCTTAGTGAGCTTTTTGAATCCTCTACTCCCGCTAACTTCCCACCCATGGGTGTGATGGGTGGCAACAGGTGTGCCCCGTTTCTGGCTCGATAGGGGTGTTCTGTCCTGGTATGATAGATATGTGTTTGGCACTTGGCTGGAGGACTTTCTCCTCAGCCTGGTGGGATGCCGGAGACAACGTGGAGGGCCAAAAAGGTCAGGGCCACGTCATCCTGGCAAGCCACAAATATGCTCTGACATCCCAAGCGCCACATGCGAACAGCCTCTAGCATCAACTAACCTCCTGTGGGTCCCATTGCCTTCCCGGTGAGGGTCATAGGGAAATCACTGGTGGGTCAGCCTGCCCTCTAGTGGCACCAAAGTATAACTGCACCCTCCTGGCCTGGGTTTTCACAATGTGGTGGAAGGAGGGACTCTCACACTCAGAGTAGGGGCCATTCTGTCTCTGCACCCTTAATGGCATCTCTGCACCCTTTATGGAATCTCTGCACCCTTTATAGCACTCAACCCTAAATGAGAGAGGGAGATGTCATATAATCAGCACTTATGTCTTTGCAGCAGGGACTTTGTTCATCTTGCTTTCCTGACCTCATCTTGTGTCCATATAGGTACATACTCAGT